ATCCAGTGATGACAAAGAGCAACAGAGCCGGTGGTGCGTTCTGGTGCGCGCCTGTTAAACCACCGCTCTAGAAATGTATAAACTAGCATCAAGTGTGTGATTAGAGTTTTAAATAGTTTCTCCTTTTCAGTCATCTGATCATCGGCTGATCTATCGGGCCTCTTATTGGTCAAGCCCCCATTTGTTTACGTTGAAAGGCGTGGCAAAGCTGAATGAAGTCGTAGTAGGCTTCTCACGTTGCGCGTTTTAACCCTTGGGGTGTGCACGAATGACGCAGGAATCCATAAAACGTATCCAGTAGCTGTGGCTCTGGTATGAAACATCATGTTACTCACACCCTTGCTGCCTAACCGGATTTGAACAATGAGTTACAATAATTTATTCTTTAAAAGTTGATGATCCCACGAGGCTCACCGGAAAAGTCGTAGTAGGCTTCTCACGTTGCGCGTTTTAACCCTTGGGGTGTGCACGAATGACGCAGGAATCCATAAAACGTATCCAGTAGCTGTGGCTCTGGTATGAAACATCATGTTACTCACACCCTTGCTGCCTAACCGGATTTGAACAATGAGTTACAATAATTTATTCTTTAAAAGTTGATGATCCCACGAGGCTCACCGGAATGACAATAAACGCGCGTTTTCTTTTTATTATTACAGCAAGGCTACAAACAATTCAAATATCTACACTTGCTCATTATCATAGGGGAAGCCCACGACGACCCCCCCCTCCCCTTCCTTCCCCCTCCTCCGGCTGGCTTGCTGCCAGACCGTCAGCTTAGCTCACCGACCGGTTTCAATTGATGAGGCGAAGAATGGGCTCACTCACGCAAGGGTCTCTGCCACAATAACGCCACTGTTTTGTGTACATACATCAGCAACCACTACCCATTAGGAAGTGTCATCTGCCACCACGGCAGCCCCTGGTACCTGAGATCCAAACGACTTTTACGCTATGAAAACAGAGTCATGCTGCTGTGACAATGCGCACTGGGTCAATGATTTGACGCAACTCGAGGTCAACGCGCCATTAAGACATTAAACCGCACAATGGCCAACCTCACAGCTCGTTATGTCTATTAGAAGATAGGAGACATATTTATCTCTAGTATTATTTCGCTTGCTTTCACTTTTCTTAATGTTTCCACATTTTCTTATCTATTTCCTTTTCATATCAAAATAATGAATATAACTTTTATTTGGTTATCTGTTTTTTTTACTCTAACAGAGAGAAACTTTTTATGTTTATGTTTTTTCAAAAAACTTTTTTTAGTTTTATGTGATTTGGTGGCTGTTACATTAGTGATCAAATCTATCTATCAATCTGTCTATCTATCATCTGTCTATCTATCTATCTATCTATCTATCTATCATGCTTAAAGATTAAATCGACCTTTTATTATAACTTATAGGCTATGTTTCTCCCAACCCAAATGATACAACTACAAATCTTTAGACAAAAACATTGATTAAACAATGTTGTATAATTTGCTAAATGTGTTGTATTGTGTACACACAGGGGGAAGGTACATGTGCTGACCTGTCATACAGATTTCAAAATGACCCTGGACGGATCAAATGAGTCATCAGTGTGTGCTGTAAGTGTCTTTTGTACCTGCAGTGTACGCATTATCATAAATAAATAAATCCAGTCCCCCTCTCTGCCCCAGTGTTTATTATTCTTTGGTCTGACTAGACAGAAATTAAGCATATCTTTATATCAGACTTTTTCAAATACCGGTCTTAATATTAAAAATTTATTTTTCAAAGAGGAGATTAAGACAAGTGCGTGATAAAGGAGTGTCTAAAATAACTTGTCCTATTTTTACTCCATGTATTAATAGCTGTATGCTTAACCCAGCAGAAGGTGCCCTGATGCTGCATCTCCAGAGGGCACCAGAGTTCAAATGATGAGATGATGCAATGCAGAGTAGAGTAAAGAAAAAAAGAAAAAAAACATCCTGCTCACTTACTGTTACAGATAGAATGCCTTTATGGCTAGCTATTATCTCCGCTGCACAGTTTAGAAGATGATGATATTGTAAAGTACGAGCACTCTATCTCAGCTGTAACTCTCAAGGGACTGAAGAATTATTCTCAAACTTATGATGCTTTTTAACCTTACACTAATATTTAAAACTACAGGAGCGAAATGTTATGTTTGGTAAGGGTTCAGTTTGTTTTTTGGGACAAAGCACTTAGTAAAATTTGAATTGATTTAATTCAACTGAGCTTTATTTAAATAACATCTTTTGTACAAACAAGCAGTCAAAAGTGCTTCAAGATTAAAACAACACATACATGAATGTTTAAAATAAAAAGACACTGATTAACATTATATTAAGATATTATATAAAAAAATGTAAAAATACAGAATACATTTCAATAACATAATTGACACAAATGACTAAAAATAATAGTATGAGCAACAAAGCTAGGTTAAAATGATCTCAACAGCTCTCAAAAGACACTGTTAGTCAGACTAAGTTGGATTTGTTTAAATACAGATGTGGAGTCTTAAGGTCTTTAGACAGACCATCAGAGATTAGAAAAGTGTGCAGTAGCAGAGAGATGCTCTAATCCCAGCAATGAAGGCAGTTGTTATTGTAAACTGAGGTCACAAAACCAATATAGACTCAAGGTTGTTTTTTAAAAAAAACCCTTCTTCTTGGTACGGGGGGCTGAGGACTGAAGGTGTACAGACAGTTGCTATTTCTGGGCTTTAGTTTTTTACAATTACAAAAATACATCCTCCTTTTGTTTCCATTCTAAAACTAAGCATCACAGTGACAAAAAGCCTGCAGTCGCCGAGAGTCAGAAATCTGCTGTTATATTTACTTCAAAGATAAACGTAACTTTTCATGCAGGAGAACGGTCACTTTTTCATTCCACACATCGCAGCAGGCAGCTCTCCAGATTGGTTCTGCATTATGCTGACCTCTTGGGATTTTTTGCCCTTCAAGCTCTGTTTGGAAAGACCTAACACCAAGGCTTGAGTGAAATACTAAAACAATCATGTAGACTCATGCAGGCTACTCTGTGAGAGTGTAATCTAAACATCTTGACAAAGAGTTACCTTATTCAGATTCATTTCTAATCGCTGTGACTTCAAAATCACTGATTCTCTCGTGTGTCGGTGCTTTATAAAAGCACTCACACAAAGTAACACTCTGTAACTCTTGGTTTGTACGCAAGTAAAATCTGCTTAATTCATTAACTTCTGAAATATTTAACCTATTAAGAGCTACTTACTGCTCTATCCTTTTATAAATGGCCATAATGTCTGAGGCTTGGATCTTCTTATTAAGGTCATGCAAATATGATTTGGGAGTTCGGGGAAATGTGTTGCCAACTTCAATATGCATTGAGACATCTATTTGATAAGTGAAGTGGCTTGGAGATAACTTTAGGTTTGTGATGTTGAGCATTTTTACTGTTATGATTTTTTTTTAACTTTTAGTATGTTTTTTTTTTTAAATTTCAGGAAAGACTTTGTCAGTCTCTTTAATAATTGTCAAATTGTATTTGTTGTGTTAGTTACAAAAGTAAATGAGTTTTGTTCAGGTATATTTCAAACCTAGAGGTGATGGGTATTGTGTTTGTTAGATCTACAGGGTATGACATGATTACTTACATTTAGCCGTATATGTCACATCAATACAATGGCCTATTTTTCAAATTTGGCTCGTTTCAGTTCAATGCTCTGATTTCTAGCCAGTCCTGGGTACTGTATTTAAATTAAACAAAAAAGGAATCATTTAGCCAATTCAGAAAACATACTCACTGTTATGGAGCCCCATCAAGTGGCAGGTATATATATTGAAAAGGATAATTCACACCTGGTCAGAAATAAGGAGAGGGCACAAAATCGAGTAAATTAGGACAATATGTTTTCTAGAAGTTAATGATGGAATCATTGTTCTTATTGGGTTACATCTTGGTGCCCTTTCAAAGTCCTACATCACTTTATTCTATCCTTTTTATATCAGTATTCATACAGCTCTGATTACTTTATTCCTGTTGTTTCTTATTCATCATTGCACGGTCACTTTATTTATCTCATTTTTACCTTTACAGTTATATTGCATATATTCGTTCTGTTGTTCCATTATTCACCATGCACCTTATTAACTTATCATTTAGTATTTAGCCTACTTGCACATAGCTCTGTATATATATATATATATATATTTCTCGTTGACTGCACATAGTTCTGGTTACATCTGTTAGTCCGATCACTGTCCACTTATATCTACTATATATATATTTCTCGTTGACTGCACATAGTTCTGGTTACATCTGTTAGTCCGATCACTGTCCACTTATATCTACTCTTTTTATATTTTGTATATAAAAACAACTTAAAGCTTAAAGTTAAGCTTTAAGTTGTATTTAAATTGACACTTTATATTTAGGTTAAAATGTTTCGTTTACTTGCACTGTTGTTCATTTACTACTCTGTGTATCTAATTTTTACCTTTACAGTTATATTAGTTATATTAGTTCTGTTGTTCCATTATTCACCATGCACCTGATTAACTTATCATTTAGTTTGCCTACTTGCACATAGCTCTGTATATATATATTTATTTCTCGTTTACTTCATATAGTTCTGTTTACATCTGGTCACTACTGAACATAGTTCTGGTTACATCTGTTTACATCTGTTAGTCCGATCACTGTCCACTTATATTTACTCTTTTTATATTTTGTATTTTAAGTTTAAGCTTTAAGTTGTATTTAAATTGACACTTTCTATTTAGGTTAAAATGTTTCGTTTACTTGCACTGTTGTTCATTTACTGCTTAAGTAAATTAAGTTAAGTTTTTTGAATTGAATTGAATATGTTTGGTAACTCTCAATCACCCACCTGCTGAGTCAACTTCAGCACTTTAAAAAAGAAAATAAATAAATGTGACAACAGCGCCCCCGTGTGGACAGACAGCGCGGCGCACCGGACGGTGACACAGCAGGAGGCGGAGGGGAGGGGAGGGGGGCAACGAGCCAGACCGGATCCTTCATGAGGGAAGAGGCCAGGGACAGCAAGCCAACCCCGGCTTCTCTTCTCTTCACTAATACTGTTCTATATTGCAAAGCAGGGGAGCCCTAGCAAGGGGCTGCTTTAAAGTGTTCATAGGATGTCCCGTCATGAAGGTAAGACTGCACCTGAGCACAGAGGCGCTCACAAGTCGCTGTTTAGCGTTTTTAAAAAAAGTAGCTAACGTTAGCTAGCCGAGGATTTCTTGTTTTTGCAGCCCACCCCAGCTAGCAGCAAAGGTTGCAGTGTTATTTCGTGGAGACGCAATTATGGCGGCCTGATACAATGCAGCTCATCTCAGGACATTTGCAATTGCAGTTTCAGGAAAAACAAAGCCAACATGAAGCAGCCTGCTGCCTACAATAACAAGGCTGACACAGACCGAGCTAACGATGCTAGGTAGCCTGTAGGCTAACAAGTAATGGGTTTTGTAGGTTAACGTTGACGAGATGGGGAGCAAAGGGAGGGGTGGTGGGGGTGGGGGGGGAGAGCCGAGGATAGGAAACACAAGAGAGCAGTGAATCCCAGGTGGCGTTGCCGGGTCGAGGCTTGCCATAATCGTGAAAGTTAGCTTAAGTTTTAGCCTCCCTTCATGGTTAGAAGTTGGCCTTTTTTAGATTCCAGTTTTTGCAGCACATGAACACTCACCTCGTCCTTGTGATCAACCTTGTTGGGCTTAGTCCTTAGTGTCAAGTAGATGTCAGATAGTGTAGTCAGCGAGTAGTTACAGCTCTCCAGCCTTTTACAAAGTTAAGTAAGTAAAGTGTAACACAGCGGATTTATTGGTTAAATGAGTCCAAGCAGCGAAGGTGAGTGAGGCCTTGGGCGGCCTTTATTTTATATGCATGTGTGTTTTGTTTTTCCGCTTTGTTGTCAGTACAGTACGTGGAGTTTATTTATGCATGGGCTGTAAAGTTGTTACTGTCATTAAAGTGTCTGTAACAGCCCCTCAGTTGGCTCTGAGCTTTTTACAGCTTACTAGTTTTGAATGGTGAGAAGAGGAAGTTTAGACAGCCTGGTAATATGCATTGAGACATCTATTTGATAAGTGAAGTGGCTGGAGATAACTTTAGGTTTGTGATGTTTTAACTTTTAGTATGTTTTTTTTTAAATTTCAGGAAAGACTTTGTCAGTCTCTTTAATAATTGTCAAATTGTATTTGTGTTAGTTACAAAAGTAAATGAGTTTTGTTCAGGTATATTTTCAAACCTAGAGGTGATGGGTTGTGTTTGTTAGATCTACAGGGTATGACATGATAACTTACATTTAGGCGTATATGTCACATCAATACAATGGCCTATTTTCAAATTTGGCTCGTTTCAGTTCAATGCTCTGATTTCTAGCCAGTCTGGGTACTGTATTTAAATTCAAACAAAAAAGGAATCATTTAGCCAATTCAGAAAACATACTCACTGTTATGGAGCCCATCAAGTGGCAGGTATATATATTGAAAAGGATAATTCACACCTGGTCAGAAATAAGGAGAGGGCACAAATCGAGTAAATTAGGACAATATTTTATTATTATTGTTCGTGTATGTTCTATGCTTTGTGGTCATGGACCGAAATAAATATTTATTACTAATATTTGCTACTATAGTGTTGGAATAAAATCGGTGTAAAGGTTTCTTTATGAACGAACATGGTGTTATGGATGTAGTTCGATGAAAATGTGAACGGGGCAGAGGATTGACAAAAGGTGAACAGAGTAATAAACCTGTGATAGATTCAAGATCCCTGCTGTATTTAACACTGAGTTACACATTCAATCCTCAGTTTGGGGAAGAGTGTGTCAGAGGAGTGATGTTTCTTCCACTTTGCTTCTCTTTCTTTTTTTGGGTACTTAATTCGAGTGTATTTCCTTTAGTGGATATTGAACACAAAGAGCCAAACATCATTAGGTGACGTCAGCTCTTTCCTTTAATGTTCACTGTCTTTGCTTACAAGTATTAGGAAGACTATAAATATCATACAGTATTTAAGATTTGGGGCTTGGAGTGTTGCTTCATTTCTCTTATTTAACTCATGTTAGTTGTTGTTTTTAATTCAGGCAACACAAGTAAGACTGCACATCTTTAAATGTAGGCTAATGATTTTTTCCATGACCACTAATCTGTCTGTAATGATTTTGTTATTCAGCCTTTTAAATATCAGAAAATTCTGAGGTTTCACACTACAGATACCCCCTTTAAATATTTCATTTTGAATAACCTAATAAAAAATGAATAAACTAGAAATATTTACGTTTAAGAATCAGCATTGTCTAATTGTAATGTGTTTTTATTTTGTTGTTATTCATGTTCTGTTTACCACCTTCCACCAAAATATCTGAAGACTTTTCATGCCATGATCGTCACTGATCTGTGAAGCAACCAGCTCATAGACAGAAATGATATGCATTAATAAATCCTTTAGCAGGCTAACCAACCAGACTTTAATCTGTCTCCATTGTTTGATGTAGAACCTTTATTGCATTTACATCTTCTTTTATGTCTGTATCTTTTCTTTTCTTTCTTCCCCCAGGCGTGAGCTGTGATGCATGTTTAAAAGGCAACTTCAGAGGTCGACGGTACAAATGTTTAATCTGCTACGACTACGATCTGTGTGCATCGTGCTATGAGAGTGGTGCTACCACAACCAGACACACAACAGAGCATCCCATGCAGTGTATATTAACCCGAGTCGACTTTGGTGAGTAGAAGTTTTATTCTCATTCGTTTAATGATGAGCAGAGCACCTGTCCAGGTTGTGAAAATGTATCCAAAGTGTGATGAAGAGTCCTCTGAGTCGGCTCTAAATCAGTACTATATTTTTGTTCCATAACTATTTGTAGCATTCAATCTTTTTGGCAGATTTTGAAAGTACAGAGGTTGAACCAAATTTGCTGCTTCTTTCTAGTGACGTTTCAAGATTCCCTCTCAAACCAGACTCATGGAGTCTTTACTGGACAAATACAGATTAATTGTTAAAGATAAACAATGTTATCAAACAGCCGAGAATTTTTCTAAAATATTATTTTTTTTTTTTACACAAAATGTTCTTTTCTCTGTATTTCATTTCAGCAAATTTAGTTTAAACCAGGTTTAGTTTGCAATACAAACAATAAGATTTCTACAAAGGTTTTCCTTGATCGCTCTAAAACGTGCAGTTTTATCACACTATGCAATGCTCCAACTGTCCAGGGGGATAGCCTCAGATAGTCTTGCTGGCATGGTTACACGTGGTCTGTGAGGTCTATTGAATGCAGTGTTGGCGCTAACGCGTCACTAAGTAACAGGTTACTGTAACGCCACTACTCTTTGCGGTAACTAGTAACAAATGAATAACTTTCCAGATACAATAACGCCATTATAATTAATGACGTTTAAAAGCACTCGTTACTTTATGTGAAGCAGACGACAGCAAGCGGGCGAGGTTACGCTGTCGTCGAGCACAGTGGCGTCCTGGGAGAAAGAACGTTGTGCATGGTAAACATAAACAAACACAAACAGCTGATCGTTCGGCCCCAAGCTTTTGTCTCGGAAATACCACATTATTTTCCCCCTCCTCAAGTTAAACGACAAGAATATAGCAGTGAGTTGTATCTGTGTGCAGGAAGGAAAACTTCTCTCACAAGAACAAAGCGCAGAGTTAAAGAACTTGCTTCCAGCTGTCAGGAAGCCCGGTGCTGCTGACACGGGAGACCAAGGAGGAGACACTCCATACGAACAGCCGGCTTGATTTAAAACACTACCTGCTCCGCCATCTGTAAACAGACGGTAGACTGATAGACAGGTATGTTGTCGGCAACGTGCTTCATATGAACTGTCGAGTCTGTTGTCTTTAGAGAATTGATAAATAAACTACAAATTGAAAATTACTGTACGTTCTATTTGAAGCGTGGTCAACTCTGCCAAAGCAATACTAAATAATGTGAACATTAATATGAGGATTGAAGCACAAAAAGTAAGGCTCAAGTTACTTTCCCAAATAACTAGTTACTTTGTAAAGCAGTAAATCTGTTAGTAACTCAGTTCCTTTTTGATGGTAGTAACTAGTTACTCATTTTCAGTAACGTGCCCAACCCTGGTGTTGGTGAATGAACATTCAATTCAAGATTAACATAATGATGGACAATCCTGCTCTCTGTATGCTGATATCATGCTCCTTAAAAAGTGCCACATCTGTCCCTTGTGTTGTGTTTTTTTTGACCAGGCACATCTTCGTTATAACCATTCATTCACGGTTATCACTAAAATAGATTTGGGAATGAAATTTGAGAAAGTAAGTTTTGTTTTGATAAATCATCTCTAAAATGCCAGTTTACTTCTGGTTAACTCAGTGTCACTATTTATACATCAAACACACGTATTGGTAAACGCTGTTACGGTTTTCAGTTGCAAAATGTTAATGGCAGAATATTCCAGAAACAAAGAGAAAGTATATCTTAATTTAAAGAACTTTATATTTGTTTCATGTTAACAAGCCCTGTGGAAATCAGTCAAACAATCAAGCATGTATGAAAGGATAATGGTCTAATACAGACAGAACCCAGTCGGTGGCTTTTATAGCCTTCTAAGACTAAAACGGTTACAGTGTGCGTTATCTTTTGCTGGCACCAGCTTTTGTTTTCAGATCGCAGGCTGCTTTTAAATTGCTTTGATTGATTTGACCCAGGCTGCCTTAGGAGGTTTTTGGAGTGTGTAATGGGGCTTCTAGGTTTCATTGATGTCTTCATGAATAAAACATTTTGTTGTGGCAGCAGTTAGGAAGGAGAAATCCTAAGTGGACCGTACTTCCTGTAAATTCAGTGACTAATCATTCCAAATGAACTTAGAAGTACATTACATGTTGTGCTATTTCAAATAGTATCTTACAAAGCCTTTGATTGAATGGAACATTTATTTCCTGCTAATTTTTCATCCATTAGTGCCCCCGAAATATGTTAGGACTTAATCTCTCAAACTTTGGAAATGCTGTTTTACAAGCTGTTGAACAACAAATACAAACTGTGAAGCACGGGGTGCAAGCTCAGAGAGATATTTTCATTTTGAGTGGAATTTGTGTGTTTCCTTTTGTGTGCCTGTTCTATGGTGGCTCTCATAAGTGACTGATTTTCTACTATATGACTTGCTTTAATGATATTAAAGTTATTTTTTTTTGATTGGGTAAAAAAATGTCCTTGGAGCTGCGTGTTAGATGTTTGAAAAGACTGTTGTGTTATGAGCTACTTGAACGCTCTAGCTGCATGCAGTGGACTCACAGGTGGTTTTGTGTGAGTTGGAAATGTTCTCATTTTGTAGTTTCTTTTACAGTGCAGCAATACTTATCTCTCATCGCCTTTATCTGTCTGATTTGAACCTGATTTGACTGTTGGAAGATTTAAAAAAAATGACTTTAACCAGGATGTAACCACAACTTTCAGTTTTTTTCATTATTATTTCATCAGTAACCACTGCTCTTGATATTGAGATTTTAGTCTCCGTCTTTGCCTTGCATCATTCTGTGACAGCCGTGATACAGCTGAAGTCCCATGTTGTAGAAACACTGCAACACAGGCACCTGAAATTGACTTACAGTTAAAACGAACCAGAACATTGATTTCTATGTGCATCGTTTTCCCCCTGCAGACCTGTACTACGGTGGAGAGGCGTTCTCAGTCGAGCAGCCCCAGGCCTTCACATGTCCCTACTGTGGCAGGATGGGTTACACAGAGCTCTCCCTGCAGGAGCACGTTGCTGCAGAGCACACAGAGACCTCAGTAGAAGTGGTAAGTTGGTGCTGAAACTTCACACTCGGCCAGCTAAGAAACCTCGACAAGGTGTTTGCTCATATATCAACGTCTGGAAAGATCTACGCTTGCGTTGATTTTTTTTTCCTTGCATGCAGCTGACTGTATTTCACAAAGAAGTGAATTCAGTCTGCGTCAGAGAAAAGTCCCTTATATAAGAGGACCCTGTAGTGTGTTTATACCTGTTTATTTGTCCTGCTTGACAGTGTCTCAAATGAAGCATAGTTGTGATGTCAGCTTGTGACCTCGTGATGTTCGATGCAAAACGGAGGGCATTGATAAACAAGAGCTACACAGTCTACCTGACAGCTGGTCGACAGTGCGGAGACATTGGCCCACACACTATAACATTTTCATAACTCGTAAAACATGTTCCTTTTTTTTTTTTTTTTTTTGCGATTCCTGTTCTTTCAAGACATACTTTGGTGTCCATTCAATTCAGCACCATACATAAATGAGATAAACATGGAGTTGTTGTCGAAAGAGGTCTAAACTATTAACATTAAATATGTTGAAGTGATACATTTAAAGTTGTTGAAATAGGTTTTGAGGAGTTAAAGTTGATCTAATGTAACACTTTTTGTGTGTTAGTTCAGGTTTTTTTTTTATCTGATACCGACTGAACCATCTGAGAAAAAGAAATGAAGAAGTGTGAACACGTTTTTTTTATAATCAAAATAACATGTTAATTTATTACAGAAAGTGTATCTGACTAAAAGATCAAATGTACTGTTGACTTCACTCTTGATTTGTTGGTTTATATAAGTTACTGTTAGAGACTGCTAGTCGTGTTGAACATACCACTGTTGACAGACATAGGATGAACTCCTGTCATTGAAATGTTTTCATATTCTCTTTAGAGTCAGTGTCACAATGTTGGAAAGATGATTTAGTGACTTTGAGTAAATTGACGTCAGGTAAATGAACAATGTGTCTTCCTTGCAGCGGAATTTAACATTTTAGAATATGTTAAGCACATCTTTTTTAATTATTATTTTTTTAAGATTATATTTTTTGGGCTTTTGCCTTTTATTTGATAGGACATTGTTCAGAGCAGGAAATCAGGAGAGAGAATTGGGAATGACGTACAGAAAAGGAGCCATAGGTCGGACTTGGAGGATTATAGCCTCCGTACATGGGGTGCAACCTAACCATTAGGACATCTGCGCCCCATGTTAAGTACATCTTAAGTGTACTTTAGTCTATAAGATGACTATCATATTGGTGATACTGGCGCTTCCTTCAGCAAACTGTCAAAGCTGTAAATCAACCTCAGCCTTTAAATTCACTTCATACCTGCTGGAGCTTCCAAACACTCAACGCTCATGTTTAAATATGGCATTTGCACAGTAGATATTTACCAATCTATGTTTGTTCAGGAGGACCCGGCACCGACCGGTGAGTGTTTCATGTGCTGTGAAGTGTGCTGATATTAACACGTGCACTCTTTTTCTGTCTCCTAGATCTGCCCAATATGTGCAGCACTGCCAGGTGGCGATCCAAATCATGTGACAGACGATTTTGCTGCTCATCTCACACTTGAACACAGAGCACCCAGAGACTTGATATCCTTTTTTGAAGGCTGTATTTACTCCTCCCAACTAACGATCACAACCTGGCTGTGATATTGACTTTAAAAAGAAGTAAATACCTCAAAGTTTTTATGAAGGATCCTGGACTTCCAAGTGTTACAAACCAATATCGTGGATATTAAGGGGATGGTTCAGTATTATTGAAGAGTGGTTGTATGAGATACTTGTCAATAGTAAGTGTATTACAGACAGGAGAGCTCGGCCCCTTTTGTTGAGTAATCAATAGGAGTGCGGTTGTTTGATGGAATAGTGCTACCCATCGAAATGTGCCATCAAGCGGCTCTGTACAGTAAAGGAAGCATTTTTTGACAGGGGCTAGTTGTCTTTTGAGATATGCTTCCCCTGAAGCCTTGATTTACTGTCAGCAAGCGTCTTAGTTTTAGCACTTCAGCACACCACATACGTCTTCATCTGCCTACACTGTCTGCAATTCACTTATAGTTATATTGTGAATTTTTATAATACCCCATCCCAGTTTGAGATCATTTTAATCAACAGATGTTTAAAGACTGTCTTCCTGACACGCCACAGTAATGGCTGAAAGGTTTGTTTGCAATGTGGATTCCCTCTTCAACAAGTACACATAGCCTTTTTTGATAAAGTAGACATATCATGGGGTTGGGTTGTGCTAACCGTAAACCTACCTTGAACACACATTTCCATTTGGCTTTTCTGGTTTTCCAATTTAATTTGTGAATATTGAAGGAGGTCTGCAAAACAGCAGTAAAGGAAAAGACTCCAAACAATGCAGGCAGCAGAAAATGTGTTGGGGAAATTGGGGGAAATAAAATCTATAGCCCTGGATGTTTTCCTTAACTGCTAGCTTCACGATGAGTCAAGTGGGGTGCGGCATGTGAGGAGGATGTTTCACCCTGGGCGTGGGCTGGGAGGTCCAAGAGCCCGAAGGTCTAACATGCACTTCACCAGCAGCACCACAGGGGGGCTCTCAACCAGTCAGAGCTCCTCACAGAGCTCCAACTACAGCAGAGAGGCCATGGACCCCATAGCAGGTCAGTCATACCGCACACCAACGAGCACATGGTGAACTCAGGCTGACACGTGTGACCCAGACTCTACAGGGTTTATATAGAAGTCTGAGAAATAGTCTTGTTATTACAGTCAGGAATTAAACAATTATTTTCAGGTAGATAAACTCATTGTGATCCAGCTGCTGCTGCTGCAGGAGGTCCAGGGCTCAGCACTGGATCAGGCATGTGGCCCCGTTATAAATAGACACATTTAATGAGTTGTCTTTCTTTACACACATAAATTGCAGTAGCATCATTATCACACATTTAGCCATTGTTTTAGTTCACACTTAAGAGTGGACAGGATAACACAAGAATTGCTGGTGTGGAAATTCCTTGTTTAGAATTCTATAATATTCTAAATCTGGTCCAGCGCCGCCTGGTATTCGCCATGTCAGCTCCAGCTGTGCTCTAATGAGGACAAGTCTGCCTCACCAACACATCAGCAGCCTCCTCTCTAATGACCCTTACACCCGCTGGGCAGTTGACCAGACTGTTCCGGTTTGAGCCCAAATATGGTCTAAGACCACACAGAGGTCTCACTAAAATTCTGTCCTGGCTGACAAATGCTAGTTTTAAAGCACACCAGTGCAGTTTAGTTTGGATGATATTATTGAGAATAGTTGAGATCCTCTTCACATCCCTCAGCAATTAATCAGTAGCTCTAAAAAAAAAAAAAAAAAAGGACTGTAATAATTAGATCAGATTTTTTTTTTTGACCAGATGAAATGATTGGACAGCCTACCGGTCTGTCTACCTGTAATCATTTCCCCCATGTGTTGTTTGCCTGTGGACTTATTGCACATTAGCAGTTTTTCAAGCTAAAACCAACATCTTTGCCATTTCTGTCAAAATGTAGATCACCTGTATCATTTTCTTGAAGTTTCCGACCTCACCTTTAAATGGAAAAGTCTTAACAATTGTTGTAATCTGTAATCGGACTTTAACACTCATGTCTTCTCCATCCTCCATCAGAGCTTCTGTCACAGTTGTCGGGGGTACGGCGTTCAGCAGGTGGTCAGCTCAGTTCAGGCCCCTCGGCCTCTCAGCTCCAGCAGCTTCAAATGCAACTCCAGTTGGAGCGCCAGCAGGCCCAGGCGGCACGTCAACAGTTAGAGACAGCCCGAAACGCCAGCCGGGGAGGCGGCCGAGCAAATGCAATCCTCAATACAAATTCAACCGCCACAAACCCCAACCCCAGCGCCAACCACAATACCAACCCCAGTCCCAATCCAGGTCAACCTGAGTCCAACACACAGCATTCTTCACATAGCTCCCAGTTTCTACTCAGCAGGTCAGTTTGAGACTTGTATCAAATCAAATGTCAACAGGAATATAGTTTTACTTTTTTGTATTTTTTCCACACTTTAATGTTTTTATTTATTAAGCAGAATCTGAGTTGTGCAGAGTAACAACAAGAGGAAGTTGTTTTCAGAATCATTTGATGAATAGTTTTTGTTTTTTTGTGATCACCGTTTTTTCCATCTGTCTTCCTCCTCCCACCTTAATATTCTTTACATGCACCTTCATCTCATTACTCTTCAATCTCTTCACGCAGGCTGAGCGAACCGCGGCTCTCTGAGGCCGAGCGGCAGGCGTGCGAGGCCCAGTGGGCCGACAGGAGTCTGTTTGTGACGGAGCTGCTGCTGTCCACGCTGCTGCACGACGAGGATGCCTCGGCCTCTTCCTCCGAGGACGAGGACGACTGTCATGGCTCGTTGCGGAATTTCGCCGACTTCGAGTCCATGGGCTGTGTTGAGGTCATGACCTTAGACGTGGCACTGGAGAACCTGAACCTCAAGGAGACGACCCCCGCTACCAAGACGACAAAAACCACGACTAAAACGGCACCAGCTAAGAAAGAGCCACCTGCTCCGCCCCTTTGATGACATGGCCGCTCCCTCCCCTCAAAACACCATTGTAACTGGCTGACTGTCGAGTCAGTCCGACTGCCAATGGATGACAAAAAAAGACTGCAGTTCTTTTTGGCTTTTTTTTTTTTTTTTTCTCAGTGATTGTCATTTCAGCTCTGTCGCTCCCCACTCGACCCCCATGTTTATTGCGTTGTGTACATTGAATAAAAGTAGTGAGACGAGAGAATGTGAAAGCAAGCAAGGGTGGTGGATGCGTGAGAGAACGAGAAAAAAATAATAATATAAATATATTATAGAAAAATCTATATGAAAGTTGATAATCATTTCCACGTAACCCGTGTTTCCTCTAGCAGAAAGCGTAGTTAGCCGTTTTTAAAGAGACAAAACACGTCACACACTCAACCCAGGAGAGGAGGCGGACAGAAACCTCTCCGATAAAAAACGCTGCTGTGTATTTATAGTTATTAATTAAAGAAGTGCTTGGATGGTTTACCACAACTTAAGCATGAGCTTAAATCACTATGTGCCCATTTTTAACTGCACAGTCACTAGGCGGGGAGGTCTTTGTCTTTTGTTTGGACACCTGAGTTACTGTAAATTAATGGTGCTGAGTGCCACATCGTTGGCATATCTGCACTACACACACACACACACACACACACACACAAACAGACTGATGGCTGTGTTTGGTTACATTCATGTCCAGTCTCGACCCGCTCTCCCCCTTGTGTGACATCACCTGTTTTGGGTCATGTGACCTTGCTTTATATCGACTGTGGGCACTTTGGTTTTGAATTGCATATCCAGTGTCCATTTGTGTACACTACAGATGCTCTACAAAAAGGCGATACACGACTTGGAGGCAAACGGAGATGAAACATTCTCTTCAGCTCAACCAGTTTCAGGCCTTTTTCTGACCTGGAAGAAACACAACACATTCAGTTGTTTTGTTTTTGTTTCTCTCTCTCTCTTTAACGGAAGACCAGATGCTTCTTTCTCAAGCTTCCTGTGATCTGAAAAATTAATCTTCTCTCCTTTACTCATGAATGCAAAGATTTACTCATCATGTGACTTGAAAGAGAGAATCCTGTATTGCTCTTTCCATGAATTTCTCTCAGTCAAAAATGATCTTTGTATGCCTCCACTGCTACCTGAAGAAATGCAATGTATGTTTTTGGCTCTGCGAACAAGCCAAATCACAGGGTAAACCTTTCAGTTTGGAGGACAATAAACATGTTTTGGATGGAAATGAACTAACCCAATCCTGCTCTCTGGTTTCTGTTTTTACTTTTTTTTTTTCTCAGTTGCTAACTTCTTGGTGAGCATGTACAGCATATGGTAAAAATAAACACTTATCTTACAGGTCAAGTCCAATCTCAGTTAATCCTGTCATCATTTACAAAAAGGATTTCAAATATGTTGGCTGGCAAATGTAACAGACCTATAGGGGAGTGCAGTCAAAATAATATCTGTAATATGTCTGATGTTAAGGTTAATTTAATGCCGACCCCTGATGAGACTTTTAATAGTGTGTAGGAGTCTCCATTTATCTCAGCTGAGGGGCTTTTCAGTGGTCAACGAAATTGAAGAAAAAAAAAAATCAAGATGAAGAACTACCACTCTCTTACCCTGAACAATGTCACTGTTCCTGAGACACTGCAGGGCAGGTGATGGTTTTTTAAATGTAACATATTTAACCAGCATGAAATGGAAACCATTATCCCATTGTATGTTGACTCTGTAACTCCCTGTATGCCAGCATTAAACCAGCATTTTTTTCAGCGTTACTGTAGAGACATCTCAAATTAAACCCAGCACACACGGCAACCGCGCTGGGAACCTGAATTGCCACCATGGTGCCAAGTCTCTGAATTATTACCTGAGCTTGAAACCTCTAAATAACAGAAGCTAGTAAAGAAGTGGCACGTTTATTCAGTCTTTCAAGAGGTCTGTCGCTTTTGGAAACCAAACGCATGCAAAGTGAGGGGAAATGAGCAGAGACAGCCACAACACTGAGTGTTTTAAGGCAGCAGTACATCTTAGGAAGTTAAATATATATACATTTATATAGATGATCTTAAGAACAGTACAGGTAAGAGGGGTAAATAAAGAATCACATTGTATTCATGAAACCACGGGTACAGTCAGTAAACAAAATTGTTTTAGTAAACTTGTAACCTGATGGAGTATTTTGCACTTCATGTAGGATTCAAAATAAATTGACATATAGACATTTTTATTGTAATGATAAAGTGATGTTAAATCATACAGCTTGGACACAAAGACGCAAATAATTATAATAGGTAACTGAGTGAACCAAGGTGTAAGGGATTCAATGTTTACTTCTTACAAATACCGGTACAGTGGCCAACCTTAAAAAAATGTATAAAAGTACAAATTTGGCTTTAATTATTCAAGGAATAAGTAGTTATTTTGATACAGGGTCAAGATATGATGTATGTTTATGTATGTAAACCACAAGAAATATTTTATTACAGGCAGAAAAGGAAAGAATAGTAAAATGGTTTCAGAGGACAATTTACAATGTTTTTCACTCATACACATCCTTTCAAAATAAGACACGACTCAGTGGGATTAAGGTAGTCTTTGTAATTTTAATTCCCATAATTTAGTTTAAATGCAGACATTTTTTTCACTGAAATCTTAAATAAAACATTACAGTACGATATATGCAAATCAGAAGAGTTTTAAGATTTTGTAGAAGCAGGCTACAGTTCTTTTGATTTTTTTTTTTTTATTATATTTACTTTGTATTTACTTTGCAGGACCGGACAGTTAAATAGCAGTAAACAGTAAAAAGACAACACAGAGCTGTAAAGCCTGCAGGCCAGCCAAGGAGCACATTCTATTACAAAACAGACCAGAGAACTAGAGACAGCACGCCACATCCAGATGAAGGTCTGAACTGATGCCCCTCCACCTCATACAAGCAGGAGGGGGCGCTATTACACCAGCGCAGGTGGAGCTACACACCACAGAGTGACAGCGATGTAGTTTCACCTCGACAAGAAACAGCTTGTATTGCACATCCAGGGAGAAAGAAATGGCACATTCTGTTTCTCTAGTTTCTCTCTACAAAGGTTACAAAACAGTTATAATGCAAGAGAAGCACAGTTACTCCCTCAATGGCAATCACACATTTCATTGATTTGTAGTGATCAGTTGAAACGGACTGGTCTAAAATGCTGTCCCTCTCTACGGGGAGGGAAAGTGTCAAACTACGCCCTCTAGTGGCGACCTTCAAATCTCACAATTTATAATCGCAAATTTTATCTGTCGAATCATTGATATAATTGGCCAATGAACAATGAACTTTCAATAACATTGTTGTACACTTCCGGGTAAAACATGCTAAGATTCATGTGTTCAGCATAATTAAAAGGACATTAAAATCCCTTTTTTTTTTTTTTTAATCATTTAACTTCTTACTATAAATATGTGTCTGACATGAACACATTCTTTTCTCCTTAAGTTTAAAAAGTAACATTTCTCTATGTGTTTTTTTTCCTTTATTCTCCCTGTACTGATTTTAAAGGGGTGGGGCATGAATGATAAAATGTGACATCACTTTTTTTGTGCACCTATCAGAGTTTTCAATCAGGGCTAATTGGAGTCACAGCATTGTGTCCTTACGTCTGCTCAAAATCCTTTGAGACACAATTAGGATGAGGCACATTAGCAGAGTAATTGAGTGTAACGTTTTTATTTAAAAATATATTTATTATTTGTTATAGTTGCTCTTTAGTAATTCATATCTAAACAGAATTATTTGATTTAAATGTTTTGACGAGCGTTATATGAAGGAATGCTTCTTCAATATTATGAAATGTAGCATTAGTCCTTTCACAAAAGTTGAGACAGGATAGTGTGAGCCATATTTAGCAGTTATTATTGCTGCCACTTGAGGGTGACTTTAACTTTCCCTTCCTATCTTGAGCAGTGCATCCCTTTTGGCCTATCAGGACTGAGAATGAATGAAAAAAACAATTTAAAAAATGAAAGTGTGAGTTACAAAGGGGCGCCTGCAGAGCAGTGCTGTTACAGCACACACCAGATCCATCTGAGGGGGGTGACGTCAGACTCATTTAACATTGTTTTAAACCGTTTATTTAAGAGAGAAAATCATCATGTTTCCTCTGAAAAGCTAACATAAGATGACAGAGGTTTCTGTTGTAGTTTAATGTTTGTTTGTTTTTTACTATTGTTCTGGATGGTAACCAATTATTTCCTTAATCATTCATAACAGTAATGAATAAATGCTTTTGTTAGCATTCACTTACAGCATCAACAATGAGCTGTATGTGCACTCTTTGCCAAGACTCATTGTAGTTGTTTCACACTAATTATACATAATTATTATTATTTTGGATAAATGAGAGAGTGCTTAGTAGTTTAGGCCTCTTTATTTTACAATATGACCAACAGTGTCTTTTTTTTATTTTGCGTTGGTAAAAATATTCTTCAGAATTCAAAGTTTCTTGAACTGAAGCTAAGCAGCTAGTTGCTCGCTGTAGGAAGAGAAAAAGGGCTGGCTTATATATTTCTGTGTAACTGCCATCAAACAATGTTGTTTCTCTTAGAGTTCCTGTTATCAAACAGTCTTGAGCACATTATTTTATTGTCTTTGTGACTTGAGGTCACAACAGTTTTTGTTCAGAAATTAGAAGTTCGCATCAGCTGACATATTAAGACTGATTTACAAAGTGTTGTTTTTGGGAATCAAGGCCAGACCTTTAGTGTATTCTGAGATTTATATTTCAGTTAACTCCTTTCTGGCAAATTAAATGTAAAAGCATACAAAGAGAGTTTGAGTACACCAGCTCTGCACGCCCCCCTGTAACACACAGCGGTAGAAAGAGTGAAAGGGTATGAGCATCAAGAGGGGTTACCTGCCAAAACAAGGAAACAAATGTCCTCACAGTCCAGTTATCAAGTTTAATGTTTCAATTTTTTCAGCTACAAAGATTTGGCTTCTTGATTTTGCATTCAGTGAGCAATTGTCCTGGTTTTAGCAAGAAGCCTGTCCTGCTCCTCTAACAGCTCATGATCGAAGCAGTAGGGAAACAAAATTACAAAGTGTTTTCATCTAAAATTCAAAAATAAAAATGGTAAATTTAGAAATCTGATCTATTGGCAACCGACACGTCAAATCTACATGTTAGAAGAACACACTGGGCTGACAGAGGAGGTGTGGCACATGGCACCAGCGAGGCGAGACACCCTGTGATAAGACCTTTATCTCAGCATCACTGCGATCTGATAACAGCTAACATCCCTGTTACTGTTCCCACAGTGTGTCCTCCAAAGTGTCTGGAAGCTCGCCCAGGTTAAAACTCAGATATGGTAGAAAAATATATATATAGTCTTGATGAGATTTCTCTACTCATTCTCTTCACTACTGAATTGCACCCATATAGGTAGAGTTAACACATTGTACTGTAGTAGTGTAAAGTGACAGGGTCATGATCAACACTACTAAAACAAAAACGAGTCATTGCGCGCACACTTTCTCTCGCTCTCTCTCTCGGCCTCTAGACACTTCAGGTTATTATTATTTTTTTACTTGCACTTAAAAATTCATGGTTAATAGTTTGTCTTTCATTGGCATCATTAGGCAACAGTTTTTTTTCTGATACTCTACAATATGGTTACGTTGTAAACACCACAGTACTTAGTACATTTACTGTATCTGCACAAAGTAAAACACAATGTTACAAGGCAAGTGGCTACTTAAGCATAGATTTGTTCATGAGACAGAAAAAAAAAAAAAGGAAAAAAAAAGGAAACACACCACAAGAACAAAAAACAACAACCTTGAAACACCTGACATCGAGTTTGTTCAAATAAAAATAGCTTTAGACTTTGTTCATCTACAGGTCATGTGTGACCCTGTTAAAAAGCTGGTGATGATCAGTACTATTCTTTCCCAAGATACCGTCTTCATTTTGTGACACGAGCGGCTTCGATTCAGGCTTCGATTCAGCCCTCAACTCGACCCTTAGACCTAACCTTTAGCACTTAGATTGAAACACAGGTGATCAACAGACTAAATGCTTCTACGCTTCAAACAACGCCTGCCCATTTGTGAGGAGCTACACACGTGGCTGGGGTTGAATCTCCTCTGTTCACTCCCCTGCATATCTGGCTGGAGTTTTAATACAGTGGTTCGTGTTTGATATGACAAATGAGCGCTGTCTGACAGGACAAGGCTTCAACTTTCATACCTCAGATTTGTCAAAATGAGGGGGTTACAAGACGAAGGTGAAGAAACAGATCAACTCTGGACTGAAACATGGGTGGGGGATCTGTAACGACCCGAGCATGGACAGTGTAGAGGTCAATCATTGGCAGGG